CAAACCAATTAGGTTGCAGGTAGTGGTCCTCTTAGTTTTCAAGTGAGAATTAATGACAATAACTGTTGTGATATACCTACTCTAGAATACTTCATTAGCCTTATCAGGGCTTACAATGTCTCAGTTCTTTTTGTTTAGGTTATTATTCTCATTTTGGTTATTATACTGTAAGTGTTTGTTTTATATTTCAAACATCAGGTTCAGTACCGTATGCATCCATGCCTTTCGGAATTTCCCTCAAACAGTTTTTATGAAGGCACTCTGCAAAATGGAGTCACTGTTAATGAGAGACAATCTTCAGGAATTGATTTTCCATGGCCTGTACCAAACCGTCCCATGTTTTTTTATGTTCAGGTATTGTAAATACATGTATATGAATGTTTTCTTTTGTTGCAGAAATATTTCTATTATCATCCATGGATATTGTCTTAAATTTTTGGTTTCATTATTATTATTATTATTATTATTATTTTGGGCCCTTGTCATGAATGTTGTCTCTTTTGCTTTATCCATAACTTTCTTTAAATTATTTACCTTGCCATTTTCTAGATGGGACAAGAAGAGATAAGTGCTAGTGGAACATCTTATTTAAATAGGACTGAGGCTGCAAATGTTGAAAAGATTGTCACTACTTTCTTAAAAAGTGGTGTGGTTCCTAGTCAGGTATATTTTGAAGTGTACACTAAATGGTTTGGTTTATACTAATGGTGTTAATATTCATATTAGTATTGAATTTTTATTTTTGAATGTTAAACAGATTGGTGTAATAACACCTTATGAGGGACAAAGAGCTTATATTGTGAACTATATGTCAAGAAATGGTGCTCTCAGGCAGCAGCTTTACAAGGAAATTGAGGTTTGATACAGTTTCCTTGATTCATAATATATGCAGTCTGTGTCATTGGTACATTTGCTACATGAATTTCATTCTTTTCAGGTTGCTAGTGTTGATTCCTTTCAAGGAAGGGAGAAAGACTACATCATTCTCTCTTGTGTTAGAAGTAATGAACATCAGGTTCGTGAACTCATCCTTTGTGCTAGCACTCATTTGTGAACTTTGCATACTTCAAATGGCTTCATTTTGAGCCGTATTAAAAAATTGATGGATATATTATTGACTTGACTTCTATTCTCTTTTGTAGGGCATTGGATTCCTGAATGATCCTAGGAGGCTGAATGTTGCTTTGACACGAGCAAGATATGGTATTGTTATTTTGGGAAACCCTAAAGTTCTGAGCAAGCAGCCTCTATGGAATAGCTTATTGACTCACTACAAGGTAGTGCTTGTGTTTTAAAATTATAGTGCAATGGTATTGATTTCCTGAAAAATGTACTGGCCTTGCAAGAGCTCAAAAGTTAATTCAAAATGTTTGTGCTAATTTTAGAATTCTAATGTTTTTTAATTTCCCTTTTACGATTCATTTTAAAATTCTCCCGTATAATTAGGGTTTTTTTTTAATGCAACATAATTAAAGTGATCCATACCACTCTCCTTTTCCTGTAGTGTTTGTTAGTTTTTTAAATAAGCTGTTTTTCTTCCCCATTTTCTAAACAGGAGCATGAGTGCTTAGTTGAAGGGCCTTTAAATAACTTGAAGCAAAGTATGGTTCAGTTCCAGAAACCCAAGAAGGTAGGTTTTAAAGGATTGGATAATGTTGATTTATGAGATACACTAGCATCAGGGTGCTGTCAATGCATTAAGTTGGGTTGCTTTTCTGGTTAAGCATTTGTTTATTGAAAATCTTACATTTTGATGTGGTGATTGGTTTTATATTGCAGATTTACAATGAACGAAGGCTGTTTTATGGGGGTGGACCTGGAATTGCGGCTAATGATAATTTTGGTTCTGTTGGCTCTGGAGCTGGCACCAGTTCAGATCGAAGGAGCAGCCGGGGAAGGGGTATGCTATTTATAATTTATTGTATAAGGCTCTTTTTGTTTTTGCTGAGTACACTTTCAGATTATCCTTGTTGTCTTGGTATGTCCTTATTTTCCATTGAAATACCTGTAATTTAGCAACTTTCAGAGCTTTAGCTGTCTGTTTCAAGTTCTTATCATTTCATACACCTTCTGGCTTCTGGAGTTCATATTTTGATTACTTAGATTGTATGATGATAATATTTTTGGTCAACTATAGGATCTTATATACCTCCTGGTCCCCCAAATGGAACTCATAAGCCCGGAGTGCATCCTGCTGGATATCCTGTGCCAAGGGTTCCCCTGCCCCACTTTCATGGTGGTCCCCAATCTCAACCATATGCCATTCCATCTCGTGGGGCTGTTCATGGACCCGTTGGGGCAGTTCCTCATGTTCCTTCTCCTGGGAGTCGTGGTTTTGGGGCTGGGAGAGGCAATTCTGGTGCTCCAATTGGCAATCATCTTCCCCACCAACAAGGCACTCAACAGCCTATTGGGAATATTGGATCTACATTTAACTTCCATGCTCTAGAGAATCCTAACAGCCAGCCATCTGTTGGCGGTCCATTATCTCAACCTGGCTTTGCCAATAATGTATATACGTTTTTCTGTCCATCTTCATATGTTTCTATCTGTGTCCTGGTCTTTTTTTTTTTTGGTTTGGTTAAGTTCTGACCATATTTTTCTTATGCCTATCAGATGCCAGTCCAAGGCGCTGGTCAGTCATTTCGAGATCAATTTTCTGTGCCTGGAATGTCTCAGGTGGTTACTGTTACCTCAGAGAAGCATGATATTGTTTCAACGTAAAATTTGCTCATTTTTGTTCATTTTGTTTAAAATTACTCTCAGGACTTCTTGGGGGATGACTTCAAAAGCCAGGGATCTCATGTTCCTTACAATGTCACTGATTTTTCTACACAGGTTTGAGAAATGCTGTTAATTTTCTACATACTATTTTTGATATTTAAATTAACCTTTATCAATTGCCAAAACAGGGTGCAGGACTTTCTTGTTTCTAATTTCTTTAATCGTCGCAGTTAGTTCATGTCTTTTTTAATTTTAGTTACTGACACTTTGACCACCTTAAGGCTTCTCAAAGTGGATATGCTGTTGATTATGCTACACAAGGAGCACAAGGTGGATTCCCAGGGAACTTTCTTAACCAGAATTCTCAAGCTGGATATTCACGTTTTGGCTCTGGAAACGACTTTATGTCCCAGGTTGCTCAAGTTACTAGAAATGAGCTTCCCTGTTCCCCGACCCCAATTTGGGTTGCCTAATCCTTCCTGTTCTGATTTTCCTTTTAATTCCCAGGACTACATGGGCCATGGATCACAAGGTCTTTTCACTCAGGTTGGATTCAACGATCCCTTGCAAGATGAGGCAACACAGAGCCATTTCAGTGTGGGAAATGCCAACCCTCTTCAGTCCCAGGTTACCTGTAGTTCCAGCATTTTTTAATAATAACAATATCTACAAAAAATTGAATGGATTTGATTGTTTTATCTCTTGATTTACTGATGAACTTTGCTTTCTATTGTGATTGATTTATGCAACTCATTGTTTTTCGTCTAGTAAATTCTCTGGATACTGTGCAGATGAATTCTCTCTACTCCCAGCCTTTTGCCCACTACAACACTCAGCCGCTTAACATGCAGGCTTCGCAACAGCAGCCTCAGGGTCAGAACTCCCAAAATCAGAAAATTCACTACAACGGTTGAGGAACTTTAGGAACTTAATGTGGCTTTGATGGGTTATAGTCTTCGCAATCAGCAACTGGGTTTGTGCCTGTCTTTTGTGCTGAAATACGTTTGCATGAGACATCCGAAGGATTGGCTTCTTGGGATATACCGGAAGTTGGTATAATATGATTTGAGTTGGTGGAATTGTGGGGATTTAAAAAGATACAAGCAGGCGCATCCCGGGCTGAAAATTGATAAGATAACCCCCATTACCTTTCTGAGTTTTGTATTGTTTGGGATTAAGGTGAAATTATTCGAGAAAGCATTACATGGAATGGATTTGTCGAAAGGGTTTCGATCTTGAAGCAGAAGGGGCGGTTTAAAATGTCGGTGAAATACTGAATATAGTAACTCATACGGTCAATCATCACCATGGAAGCTTTTGTACAGAAGGCAGGAATGCGGTGAACCCTTTCAGCTCTTCCTGACGTGTAATTTAAACTCGATATGAACACTGATGATATGTCGGAAAGTTATACTATGCAACTGTTGCCACTCAGAATTGTGTGGCATATAAAGGTGTGATAATTGTTTTCCATGTAAATTAGGTTTCTTACAAGTGCAACATCTGTGAGTGCTTTGAGTAGTATTAGTAATTACCCAAGATTTTTCAATGACTAACCACTAACCAGCGTTGGGAGTTTTGAATCTAAAGATGTGTAGCGCCATTTAAATTATTCGACAAATTGTAGTTTTTGGCTCAATTTTATTTGTGTAATAGTTTTGGTAGTCCAAGAATTTTTTAGCCAATTAAGTTTTTTTATTTTAATGCTTTTGCAAATTTGGTCTTTTATTAAGTTTTCACCTAAAATACTTATTTTTATTATTAAAATTTTTACAAATTAAAATGTCTTTACCTCATAATTAATCAATCAAGATATTAGTTTAGCCCAAAATAATTAAAATTAAAATTCTCTCTTTTAAACCAAATTGGCATTTTATAAAATATTTTTAAAATTATACAAGTTTATTTTATTTTTCTAAATGTTTAAAGTAATCTCATGTTTCAATTTAACTATAACTTTCTTAGAAAAATATAAAATTTTTGAAGGTTTTTAATTAAAAAAAAATGAGGGGATTAAATTTATATAAATTAAAAATAGGATTTAATTAGTTTAAAAAATTACAAATCAGAATATCCATAATTCAAATTAGAGAATTTAAAATCCAGCGAAGTCAAAATTATATTGCCTCTTTCATGTTAAGCCGTTATTTTTTAGTTTGTTGACAGTGTCAAATTTAGGATGAGTCGCGTCTGAGATTTATTCCGATAAGAACGTTGATTGAAAAACACTAGCCAAGGAAAACGATTTGTCAATTGGCATTCCGTTGTAAACAAAGACAGTAAACACTGACCAAGGAAAACGGTTTGTGAATTAGCGTTGGAAAAGGCAAAAGAGAATCTCTTGTAAGTGAAGATAGTAAACAAACGTAGAATCAGCGGAGTTACTAATTTTCTTTTTCACATTATCGTGTCAACCTATTTAAGATATTAACTGCAAAAATCTTACAAGGTTGGGGATACGTGCCCAGCTCCGTTGATCGGCACGAGAGAGAAAACGGCAAAGGACCCAATCAACTTTAGATCAGAAGCGGAGAGGCCCAGCGCCGGCAACTCCACTATCCCAAAACCCTGATCTGCCAGCACCGCTAAGCAATCCCCGGTCCATGGTCTAACCTCTGTGGCGGCCCAAACCCTAGTGTGGTCCCCACACACACTTTTCAACGTTTGGGCCAGCGCCCCCATCTGCTCCGGGTCGAATAACACATCTGACATGAGAACAAGGTCAAACTCACCCGGTGACTCGTCCCTACCCCATACCAGCTTTCTTACCTTTACCACGTTTCCCAGGCCGTTTGCTTCCACGTTTCTTACCAAAGCCTTAATTAAAGGTTCGACGTCTGTGAGAAGGACGTGGTTTGCCCCGAGCATTGCCGCCGTCAACCCTGGGAGACCTGCTCCGGCGCCTAATTCCAATACTTTCTTACCCCTTAGGTCCATCTCACGCTGAGCTGTCATCCATTCCGACAATATTATTGCTGATTCCCACACCCATGAACCCGTTAGGACTCTGCCCGTTTCTGCATCGCACACTTCTTCCATCTCCTCAATTACTATGCTCTTCCTTCCCACACTCATTTCTCTTCTTACACCCATCTATTCTTTCCTCTTCCACAAAACCCACCCGTACCCTCTCTCTCTCTCTCTCTCTCTCTCTCTCTCTCTCTCTCTCTATGCAATGATACTTGACACATGTGAGGGTTTTTTTGTCATTTCATCATGATTCGTGTACTAACATCGTATATATATGTGTGTGTGTGTGTTAATTTAGGTATGACATGGTAGGGAACGAACGTGTTCAACTGTCATATAATATTTGGCTGAAACACAAAACTTCATAAAATACCTATTTTGCTTTTCTATCCCATTATTGCATCCTCGTCTACTCATTCCCCCCCTTTGCCTAGTGGCTCTCTCTTTCTCCCCTCACCTTCAATCTCTCCGTTCCCCACTAACTTTATTGTGTATTTATGAACAAGATTTTACGTGTAATTTATATTTATTATCGTGAAATTCGATGGAGAAGTGAAAAAGCAATTAACCACGACCAGCTTTTTCAAATGTTCTGACAAAGGAAGGCAAAATGGACATGGAAAGGGTTGTGGAGGACGTAAATAAAAGTGGAAGAGACTCGTTTATCAGCGAGGGAAAATAATGTGAAGGAGGGTGGAGGAGATGAATAAGGAGAATGGTGACATGGGAGTTAAGGAAGGGCAAGCCAACAATGACGGGATAGTCACCCAATAATACACGCCACAGTAATATATTATAATTAGTAAGCTTAACATTTAACACAATTCTTTACAAATAAATTACTTATTTGAAAAGTTAATAAAGTGTCAAAATATTTTTTAGTCAAATGGTGACCACAATGAGGTTATTTTTTCCTTTGTGATGGTTGAATCCTTTCAGAATGTTTTACTTGTCTGTCTTTTGCCGACCTCTTGTCCTGAAATGAACACCTCTTGTCCCTTGTCGTTGTAATAGTGGAACTTTATGAAAGGAATATCGAGACACATGCCCTAGTCTTCCATTTACATCTATTACCAAAAATTGTCACCTGTTTACATATCTATCAGACCTCGGGGTCACAATTAAATAAAATATGAATACAGCATTAATGGCTTAATTGCAACAATTGTTGCTCATATGCTAAAATTTCAATTTAAGCATTTAATAATTTTCAAACTTTTATTATAGTAGAAGGTTTTCATTATATTAAAAATAGAAAAAACTATTAGTGTAATGTTTAAGAAGTAGAAATGATTTTATACAATGAATTCAAATCTAGAATAGTAATACTTTTGTTTTATTAAAAAATATAACTTTCTGTTTGAGTCTAACATATTTTTAAATACCAAGAGTTTTGTATATATAGACAACATATATTGTGTTAGAAAAATACAAAATAAAGAAATAAGCTAAGGTAATTAACTCTATATTTTATATGTAAAAAAAAAAACATATAAGCTTTTATATTCGTATTCAGCTTTACTAAACTTTTGTCATCTATCTATATTATACTGAATCATTGACCTAATAAATTATACACGTGTCAGCCCAAATGGAGGAAATCCACAGTGCAATCAGATGTGGTCCCCGCTCAAGAAAAATAGTGGAGGAATAAAATAAAGTTTTTAATTTTGACGTATTATTAATGTTAGAAAATATATTATCAATTAATAAAATATACTATAAATATAAATTTAAAGTTAATTGCTGTAAGCATTAATATATTTATTTATATGATAATCGATAATTAGATAATATGTATTTTATTTAAATTTTAAAATAAATATAGTTTGTAATCTTAAACGACACACAAATACCAATCCATCGTTGATTAAATATGATTGTAGTCTTATTCAGTTAATAAGACACGCAACGCGTAAATCTGATGATCTGTTTCCACATTGAACAAGAAAGAATAACGAATATATTTAGTATTTAGTACTCAATTTCATTCCACCACTTCTACTCTCTTATGAACACGTTTGGCCATGAATGCGTAAGATCTGAAAATTATAACTCAACGTTAAAATAAATTTATATTTTAATAAACTTGACATGAATCTAAGTACAACGTAAATATCGTAGACATATGAGGTCTTTGATGCATTCAAATGAATATTTCTTTTGTGTAAATTTACTTTTATTTAATTTATGAGACTATTATAAGATTTTGATTTCCTGAAATGAAAAGGTACAAGCAAAGTGTTTTCGCATCATGTTTATAAAATTTTACGTTAATTAATATTATTTTTTTAGGAATTAAATAACATTATAGTTTATATAATATTTAAAAACAAGTATATTTCAAATTGCAAACGTGACAAAATCTTAGGATATTAATTAAAATAATTTTTAAATAAAAATAAAGTATTGAAATATTAAAATTTAAAGGTTTTGAAGTCAAATTGGTATTGTAATTTTTCAAATTTATTTTTTGTTTTATGTTGATCCTTTGTCGTTTTGTTAAGTTTCAATTCAATATTATTTATCAATTATAACGGTAAAAGACCACCACAATTAATAGAAATACAATAAATTATGATGATAAAAAATTATTGTAATTGATAAACAAGACAAATTAAGATCAAATAAATAGATAGAAGATTAAAATAAAATAGTTAAAATATTTAATTAAAATTATCAGTTGAATTACATGTAATGAATATGTTAAATAATATCAGTTATTATCTATATTTTAACTTTAAGATCAATATTTTTAGTATGACAAAAAATAACACCTCGTATGCAAACATAACTCAAGCAATACATACTGATTATTCAACAGTTTGACATGCCCGTTACCACTCAGCAGTGTCTTAGATAATTAAAATAATTTTTCCTTTTAATGCAGTATTTTTTCTTTTTTCAAATAATTCCTCCTTAAATGAAAAAAATCCGTATATAAATAAATAAATAAAAGATAACTTTTTAATGAAAGAAAAATAAACAAAATATTTTATTTTCACAGAGAAGAGATATGAAAAATTGAGTCCAACATTGTCTAATTATTAATCCTTAATTTAATATTAAATAATTTAAAAAAGTTATTAAATATGATTAAAAATATATAAAAATCAAATTAATTTACACATTTTTATTAGAATAGTACACATACAATTTAAAATTAAATTTTCAATCGATTTGAATACAATTTCTTTCAATAAAAGATACACAGAACAACTTGTGTACAGTATTTTTATTATAATAATTGTTTTTGACTTTTCTTTTTATTAATAACTTGCAGTAACTCTTTATTATCTATGAGTTAACATATATAGTTTAAACTCTGTTGAAAAAGTGAACGCAAAAGAAAAAAAAAGCATAGGAAGTTTCCTCATCAATAATTTGTCACTGACGTGACGAGTGGTTTTTCATTTGATGAACTTTTTTGGCCATAAACGAGAGTTTGGTGACACTTTAAAATAGGTTGTTCCAATACAATTACACATCGGAGATAAATTTTGCCAATCAAGGTAAAACAACTATTACATCTGTGGATGATATTTTTATACAAAACAATAATTTTTTATAAATATAAAATTTATATAAAATAATATAAAAAATAAATAACAATTAAAAACAAAAATATAATTTACACATATTTTTAATTAATTTTAACCTTAAAATATATACGCAACTTTCCTTCAAATAATAAACCCATAAAAAATAATACAAAGGTTAATTAAAATTTACGATAAGGCATATGAATTTGGGTGGTAGTTTTATATTTTAAAAGAAATTTGAGTGGTAATATAAAAGGGTAATTTTGAAATAATGGAGAAGAAGGAGGGGAAATGCAGAAGGAGGTCCAATCATTCAGAAAAGCTCGCGTGGATCTCTCAATCAGAGGTCAGAATCCAGCTACACAAACGTAGTTTGGACTCGTACAGACTTTCTCCCTACATACTCAACACTTCACTTCAATTCCCAGGTTTAGTTGAAAATTTTAGCGTTCCATTAATAACGAAAAACTCGAAAGTAAAAGGAGAAAAAGCTAAAGAGAAAGAAAACGATGCACACCGTCTTCTGACTTAGACCAACTACTATTACCCCCCAAAGATTCACTGCAATCTTCACTCTCCTACTCTTTTTCTTCCTCGCTACTCTTTACGGTTAGTTCACTCTTTTTTTCACTCTATCGCTACCAGTTTTTCCCCTATTACCTCTTCCACGATTTTCGTGTTTTCATTCGTGACTCTCATAGCTCTACTTTTTATCCTTATATTTTACATCGCTCTTGTTTAATTATCAATAGGTTTTATGCTTCGTTTTTTGTTTTGCTTGATTCGGATCGCATTGCATGAATTATTGTTTGAGGACCTGTAGTTTTTCGCATTTTCTGAACGGATTCGTGATCGAGTTCCGATAGTGTGATCACTGCACTTGAATTTCGCTGCGGTGGGGTTACATTGATTCAAAGCGGTGTAGGGGACTGTAACTAACTAAGTACGCATAATTCTTTGGAGCTGTGGGGATTGGGGAATAAAGGATAGTGTGCAGTGCAAGTTAAGAAAATATTATGGCACTGGTGAAGTAGTTATGTGTCCAAAAATGAGACGCAAGGTTGCTAGAACATTCATACTTGTGTAACGGAAAGCTTTAGAACATGCTGCTGATGTTGTTATCTTTTATATTCTGTAAGAAACTAAATGCAATATCCGAGTTTAACCATGTGCAGAGCCTTTTATAAAACATCTTTGCCAAATAATACCAAGTGCTTCAGTACGAAAGTTTTACGAATTCAAAAATAACCAATCAGGATAGGTGTTTGTGAATGAAAGGTAAATAAAATATTATTAAATAATTAACAGCCAATCCAGTTTAAGAATTGTGCAATACAGTATATAAATTTTGTGTAGTGTAACGTTTTAATTGTATTAATGCTGATCACTGACAGTGTTGGTCATACTTGGAAACATTTTTATTTCAGGAATAATGCAATCCGAAGTAATTCATTGCACATATCCATGTTGTAACGAAGATAATATTATGCTAGATTTCATGAAAGAAATAATGTTAGTGATAGGGTTAAAGATACATGGCAGCAAGTGACATTATTAGGTCAAGATATATGAATCCTATGTTTTAGTTTTTAGTTGA